TTGGTTGTAGCTTTCTATAGGATGTGGTTAGTGCAGAAGCAGATTGCAAGCTTCTTCTTGCCCCATTGCTATGCTAGCTTCCTGTTAACCGTTATTTTGTCAGGATGTGGTTGCCTCACTTACTGTCCTAGGCCTCTAGTACGCAAGCTGGCCACTGGCCTAGTTTTGCTATAGAAGCCTGAACTATAAAATTCCAACAATCATTGTCGATTTCAGAAAAGGCAGGCACAGCCACACTTCTCTGTGCATTAATGATTCACCTGTGGAGATGGTTACCAGCATCAAATTCCTGGGTGTGCAGCTAATGAGTAAAGTTACATACCCCTTGAAAAAGTGTGTAAAATTATTCAAATTCCACTATTTGGCATACAGAAGAGCACAATCATTAAACAGAGTGTAGCAATAAAGGGAATAATAAAATGGCGCTGTGCATAAGTTTACTTACTCCTGAATATTTGGGCTGAAAATATAGTATTCACTCATGTTGACAAAGATTGAGATGGCAATGAAGGGTAAAAGTTCGCACCTGTCTTACTGAGCTGTACTTAGGTCTGTGATAAACATTCAAGTAGCTTCTTAGTGCAGTATTGCAGGCAGACTGTCCACAGCCTGGAGTTTGATTCTGACAGCGCTCAAGCCTTGACTCAGCCATCCATCCTTCTGAGGATGGTAAAAGGACTCAGATTGTTGGCGGCAATATGCAAATAATGTTTACCTTGGAAATCTCCCAGACTGCGCTGTAAAGTCAGTCCGTTGTGACTGAAGGTTTTTCCACACTCAGGCATATTTAGCATTTTTCCCCCATGTGAATTCTTTGATGTCGATAGAGGTGTCCACAAACAATAGAGCTCTTTCCACACTCAAGGTATTTGTATTGTTTTTCTCCCGAGTGGATTGATGCTGATAAAGACTTCCCTTCCCACAGAAACTCTTTCCACGCTCCAGGCATTTATATGGTTTCTCTCCTGAATGGAGTCTTTGATGTCTGTAAAGGTTTCCCCTCTGACTACAGCTCCTTCCACACTCAGACATTTATATGCTTTTTCTCCTCTGTGAATGCTTTGATGTTTATGAAGAGCTCGACTTTCAGTAAAGCTCTTTCCACACTGAAGGCATTTACAGGTAGTCCCCCAGGTACGAGACTTCATTTAGCCACTTTTCACAAAAACGAATTAATTAAATTAATTCAGGAAGGGTACTTACATTAGAAATTCAGAATTGCGACCAAAAAGGTCTGTCTAGCCCTGTGACTTGGTTTCAATCTCTACTGCAGTGGTGGCCATTTTTATCTCTCCGACTTTCCTTGGCTGTTTGGGGCTACGAGAAGCTGGCAGGGTTTGGGGGGTATTTTTGTCCCTGGCCAAATGGCCAAACAGGTGCCAAGCCAGCTCTGGTTTTTGCTTTTGCTAACTGAAGATGCTTGAGCTGGCTAGCAGCCGTTATTTTTTTTAAAAGGTAACTGCAATGGTTCCAAGCTAAATTGGCATTTATAAGGTTTCTCCGCTTGTGTGGATTCTTTGATGTCTATGAAGGTTTCCCCTCAGACTGAAGCTCTTTCCACATTCCAGGCATTTATGCAGTTTCTCTCCTGAGTGAATTCTTCGATGTGCATAAAGGTTTCCTTGAAGACTGAACCTCTTTCCACACTCCAGGCATTCATAAGGTTTTTCTCCTGTATGGATCCTTTGATGTCTATAAAGGTTTCCCCTCAGACTGAAGCTTTTTCCACACTCCAGGCATTTATAACATTTTTCCCCTGTGTGGATCCTTTCATGTCTATAAAGGCTGCTCTTCTCACTGAAGCTCTTTCCACACTCCAGGCATTTATGCGGTTTCTCGCCTGAGTGGATCCTTTGATGTCTATAAAGGTTTCCCCTCCGATTGAAGCTCTTTCCACACTCCAGGCATTTATGTGGTTTTTCTCCTGTGTGGATCCTTTGATGTCTATAAAGGGGTCCCCTCCGATTGAAGCTCTTTCCACACTCCAGGCATTCATACGGTTTCTCTCCTGAATGGATCCTTTGATGTACGTAAAGGTGTCCCCTCACATTGAAGCTCTTTCCACACTCCAGGCATTTATGTGGTTTTTCTCCTAAGTGGATCTTTTGATGTTTATAAAGGCTGCTCCTCTGACTGAAGTTCTTTCCACACTCCGGGCATCCGTACGGTTTCTCTCCTGAGTGGATCCTTTGATGTGTATAAAGGTGTCCCCTCCGAGAGAAGCTCTTTCCACACTCCAGGCATTTATGCGGTTTCTCTCCTGAGTGGATCCTTTGATGTTTATAAAGGCTGCTGCTGCAACTGAAGCTCTTTCCACACTCCGGGCATCCGTATGGTTTTTCTCCTGAGTGGATCCTTTGATGTTTATAAAGGTGTCCCCTTTGACTGAAGCTCTTTCCACACTCCAGACATTTATGTGGTTTTTCTCCTGAGTGGATCCTTTGATGTTTATAAAGGCTTTCCCTCTGAGTGAAGCTCTTTCCACACTCCAGGCATTTAAACGGTTTTTCTCCTGAGTGGATCCTTTGATGTTTATAAAGGTTTCCCCTCTGAGTGAAGCTCTTTCCACATTCCAGGCATTTATGTGGTTTCTCTCCTGAGTGGATCCTTTGATGTTTATAAAGGTTTCCCCTCAGACTGAAGCTCTTTCCACATTCCAGGCATTTATGCAGTTTCAGTCCTGAGTGGATCCTTTGATGTTTATAAAGGCTTCTTCTCTGACTGAAGCTCTTTCCACATTCCGGGCATTTATGTGGTTTTTCTTTTGTGTGGATTCTTAGATGCTTTTTAAGATCTCCATTTCCTTGGAAGGATTTTCCACATTCCGGGCACTGATATTTCTCTCCTTCCTCCTGGATTCTCTGGGGATTCCCGAGTCTTCCGCCTCTTCTGAAGGACCCTCCGCCCTCCAGGCCCGTCTCGGGGTCTCCGCCCGTTTCCTGCTCCCCGCTTCTCCCTCCAGGCGGCCTCCTTTCCCGGAGTCCCC